CTACCTATTGATCTACTCACATTTGCATGTTTTCTAACTACTAGTTTGGCAGAAGCTGGGGCCAATAGCGGGAGCTCATACCGCTCCCCGGATTCGAACCGTTGGCCTTTCGGTCAGCAAGTTCAGCAGCTCAGCGATATAACCTGCTGCACCACTGAGGGTGCCTAAAGATGGCCTGATCCTCGAATGAATTATGACCAATGCCAAACAACGATTTGACCAAAAATGATCGAAATTAACTTTGCAATTCAAGCAGATATGCTTTGTGAATTCAGATTTTAATTCAAGCAGAATCGAGCACCCCCACCCCTATTTCTTTGGCTCAATTCCTGTGCGATTCACACTTCCTCCCCAACAAAGGCCCAACAAGAACTGCCCGAGGGCTCGCTTAACAAGTTAATGAGTAACACAGCCAGCTTTGCCTGGTTGCCCTGGCAATATATAATGCAGGAGGAAAAATCAATCTGCCTTTGCTCCCTGCCTGCCTCTTCTGCTCTGAGAGCCAATTGCTGTCTTTTGTGCTAAACAAAAACAAAGAGCCTTGTGGCACCTTGAAGACTGACACCTTTATTACGACTCACAGCTTCAAGGACTGCAAACCACTCCAGCAGATGACTACAACATACACATGTTTGTGCCTTGGTGCAATAGAACACTTGGCGATGGAATACACGTGCTTGGAGAGGTACATTGGCCCCATCTTGCTATTATCTTCATGGGCACCCCATTCCGATTTCAGTGGCCATGACAGGCGATTACCTCTAGATTGGACTATTGCAATGCACTCTACGTGGGGCTTCCCTTGAAGACGGCACGGAAACTACAATTGGTCCAACGCTTGGCAGCCAGACTCCTAACTGGGGCGAATTACAGGGAGCAGTCAACCCCCCGTTTATTTATTTATTTACTACATTTATATACCGCCCCTCTCAGCCCAAGGGCGACTCGGAGCGGTTAACAATAGGCAACAATTTGATGCCGGTGTAGTTACAGCAAAATTAAAAAATTAAAACAATCATAAATACTTTAAAATACTAACATAAAAATTATACACAGCATTTAAAAACATTGTCAAAGCGTCTCCATATCAAATCATTGTCCGGTTGCATTGTCAGTTGTCCATAACATCATATATCTATGCCATATCTGGGAAGGCCTGTTTGAAAAGCCTTCTTTGAAAGGACAGGAGGGAGGGGGCCAATCTTATCTCTCTAGGCAGGGCGTTCCACAGTCGAGGGGCCACCACTGAGAAGGCCCTGCCAAACGCATCTGTGAGGAAGGCAGGATCAAGAGCAGGGCCTCCCCAGAAGATCTTAACATTCTAGATGGTTCATAAGGAGAGATATGTTTAGATAGGTAAGTTGGACTGAAATTGTTTAAGGAGCTCCATTGGCTGCCATTCATCTTCCGGTCCCAATTCAAGGTGCAGGTTATCACCTATAAAGCCCTAAACGGTTTGGGACTCTCCTACCTTCTTGACCGCCTCTCCTACCACCTCTCCTATTTTTGGGCTTGGCCTCATGTTAGCTGCTCCGAGTTCCCTTTGGGGAGATGGTGGCGGGTTATAAATAAAGATTATTATTATTATTATTATTATTATTATTATTATTATTATTATTATTAATGAGGAATGATAATGACAATATTGGTATTCCTTGATCAGGGGTATGTTTTGACAATGGATTGGACCACAATGGACCTGATCCAGCTATCCAGACTGCCAACAATCCATTTATATGAAGTTCAACAGGGACAAATGCAAGATACTCCACTTAGGCAGAAAAAAATGAAATGCAAAAAGATACAGAACGGGGGGCGGGGTGCAATGCCTGACTCGACAGCAGTATGTGTGAAAAAGTGTTGGAGTCCTCATGGACAACAAGTTAAACATGAGTCAACAATGTCATGGGCTGTGAAAAAACATGAGTCAACAATGTCATGGGGCAGTGAAAAAACCCAACGGGATTTTGGCCTGCATCAATAGGAGTGTTGTGTCTAGATCCAGGAAAGTCATGCTACCCATGCTCTATTCTGCCTTGGTCAGACCTCACCTAGAATCACACTGTGTCCAATTTTGAAGAGAGATGTTGACAAACTGGAATGCGTCCAGAGGACGGAAACTAAAATGATCAAGGTTCTGGAGAACAAGCCCTATGAGGAGCGGCTTAAAAAGCTGAGCATGTTGAGCCTTCAGAAGAGAAGGCTGAGAGGAGACATGATGAGAGCCACGTATTAATATGTGAAGGGAAGTCATAGGGAGGAGGGAGGAAGCTTGTTTTCTGCTGCCCTGCAGACTAGGACGCGGAACAGTAGCTTCAAACTCTAGGAAAGGAGATTCCACATGAACATTAGGAAGAACTTCATAACTCTGAGAGCTGTTCATCAGTGGAACTCTCTGCCCCAGAGTGTGGTGGAAGCTCTTTCTTTGGAGGCTTTTAAACAGAGGTTGGGTGGCCATCTGTTGGGGATGCTTTGAATCCGATTTTCCTGCTTCTTGGCAAAGGGTAGGACTGGATGGCCCATGAGGTCTCTTCCAACTCTATATCCCAACTTTTCTCAGCGCCAAACAAAGTCAAGTCAAGGGTTGGAATCTCTTTATACTAACCTAATGTTCCAGTGTGTCATGAAGAGTGCTAGTGTTCTGATGTGTTTATTTATATTGTTTCTTGTATTTTATCTTATTTTCTTATATTTTATTGTTGTATTTTTATGTTGTATATTTGCATTGTTTTATTGCTGGGCTTGGCGTCATGTAAGTTGCCCCGAGTCCCCTTGGGGAGATGGTGGCAGGGTATAAATAATAATAATAATAATAATAATAATAATAATAATTAGTGCTTATTTCACAGTAAGTACTTTTTTTTACTACTGTAGACAAGCTCTATCTGATCTATTTCTAATACACAGAGGTTGTGTTGTAGATATTACTGGTACACAATTCATTTATTAGATACTGGCTATTGAATAATGTTCGTTTTACAAAATTTGGCAGGTGAAGGAGATTTGCTCAAAGTAATACCGGATCACCCCACCTCTTAATTCGTCAGATGCAGAGGAAGAGACTTTGATACACATCCACTGATTGTGTGCAAGGCTTATTTTTAATCTTCTTCATGTGGGAATTACCTGTGAATAAACATGTTTAGGGAGAAGCAATGTGATTATGACTAACAGAACCCTCTCAACGGGGGAAAGAGACATTAAATTCTATTCTGTGTCAGAAAGGTTGGAAATTTTTCAAAAGATTGCAGATGAGGAGGAGGCAGAAATAACATCTTTTAAAGAATGTTCATGCTTTGTTCCCATGTGTACCTTACCCTAAGTGGGTTTTTAAATTTGCAAACCTTTTCCTTTTATACAGTTTGAATAAGATGTCAAAAAAAAAAAAAACAAACAAACCCTAGTTTGGGGCGTGAGCTTTTCACAAAGATAAAATGTGTGCATCATATGAGAACTACTTCAATGTTTCTCATATTTGTCCATATTAGAGATAAAGTTGTGTTCTTTCCATATACCATTTGTGGAGGAAAAATATGGTTGCATGCACATATTAATACCCACCATATCTGGCATGGGCAAACTTTTTTTGCCTTGGGGCTGCATTGTTGGCCCAGCCGGGTGGCCGGGCTGGGAGGAAGTGGTGCTGTTTGCACACTGGGTGGGGTGGCCCTGCAAGGGATAGGGCCCGGGAGAGGGTAGAATCAGAATAGGGAAGGGCAAGACCTAGGTCATCCTCAGGTTGTTCTCACGACATTAGGATTGGTCTGCTTGCCCCATCCTCATGTTGGGAGGAAGGCATGACACGCGGCAACTGCCCAGATTTTCCTCCCCTGACCCTCAGGCTGTTCTCTTGACATTATGCCAGGAGGAAGGAGAGACAGGCGGCAGCTGAGAGTGCTCCAGAGGGCTCTCAGCCACCACATGCCTTCCTTGAGCTGTCTTCCCGGCATAAGGATGGGGCCGCTCACACTGTCCTTATGCCGGGAGGAAAGCGGGACATGCGGCGACTGCCCTGATTCTCCTCACCTGACCCGTAGGCTGTTCTCTTGACATTATGCCAGGAGGAAGGAGAGACAGGCAGTGGATGAGAGTGCTCCAGAGGGCTCTCAGCCACCACGTGCCTTTTTTGAGCTGTCCTCCCAGCATAAGGATGGGGCCGCTCGCACCGTCCTTATGCCGGGAGGAGGGCGAGACACACGGTGGCTGAGAGGGCTCCATAGGGCTCTCAGCTGCTGCGGGCTGCCGTGTCCTTATTCCAAAAGGACAAGGTAATAATAATAATAATAATAATAATAATAATAATAATAATAATAATAATACTGTGGGACTTTTGAATCCAAACTGACAAAGTTTTGGAACACAATACGCCAGGCATCATGATTGTGGAAAAGAAAAAGGTTTGGATTATTGATGTCGCCATACCGGGTGACAGTAGCATTGAAGAAAAACAACAGGAAAAACTCAGCCGTTATCAGGACCTTAAAATCGAACTGCAAAGGCTCTGGAATAAACCAGTACAGGTGGTTCCAGTAGTCATTGGCACACTGGGAGCCATGCCAAAAGATCTCAGCCGGCATTTGGAAACCATGAACATTGACACAATCACGATTTGTCAACTGCAAAAGGCCACCTTACTTGGATCTGCACACATCATTCGAAAATACATCACACAGTCCCATATGCTTGGGAAGTGTTCGACTTGTGATTTTGTGATATGAAATCCAGCATAGAGATCTCGTTTGCTGTGACATACTGTGGTTTGTGTCAGTAAAATAATAATTTTATTTATATCCCACCAACATCTCCCAAAAGGAACTCAGGGCAGCTTACGAAACATTTCAGGTGCAATATAACATAAACGGTACATGAGTAAAAACAATATCACATAAAAGTTATAATACAAGATGATCCCTCATGTCCCCCCCCCCCCAAATGGGATAAGATATTGTCTATTTCTCATCTTGTCTATTTATGAAGCATCGGCTAAAATGGAAACCTACCAGTTGAGCAGTCAGAACCTGTCCACTTTGGGTCGCAGTTGCACACGCCAGAGTCCAAAAGGAAGGTGCCATGACCTGAACACTGTTCTTGGCAGACAGGGAGTGATGTTTCGCAGTTGACACCACCCCATCCCATGGAACAGTGGCATTCCCCTTGAACACAGACTCCATGGCCAGAACACATGGGATCTAAGCAGTCCTCTGGAAAGCAAGAGAGGGAAACAATGACATTGTGAACCCATAGCAGAGAGGTGGTGAAGCAAGCAAGCAAATAAATAATGCTGAAGTCAAGTCACATTGTATTTGCATCAATAAAATAACAATGACATCTAGAACAGATGAACAAGAGAAATAAGTCTACAGACCTTCCTCACATATCTCTCCTTTATAACCAGGGACGCAAATGCAGATTCCCATGATGCAGGTGCCATGGCCAAAGCAAGTGGGGTCAATGCACTGCTCTTCTGGAACATCACATTCGGGCCCTTTCCATCCATTGCGGCACACGCAGTGGCCCTTTTCATATTCCCCATTCCCACTGCATAACACTGGGCAGGAATCTGCATAAGGCAAAAGAAACAATATTTTTCATCCCAACCAGGGGAGTGCATTAACCAAAAGATTCCATTTGGACCTTAGTTTGGTGCTTAAATCAACGCACTGATTTGCTGAACCCCATCTAATTTCTGAACCCCATCTAGTTTCAATAATAAGATGATGTGTTACTGTCTTTAATAAGATGATGTGTTGCTGTCTATCAACAGAATCTACAACATCAAGACTATCATCGTCATCAGTGCCAATCCCTTGTGTGTTGGAAAAAGGAACCTTCTCAAGCCTCCTACACTATCTATTTGTTACTGTATATTATATATACTGTATTGTATATGCGTGCATTGGTATGCTGTTTTCCTGAAATCTATGTTGTGGGAGGTGCTGCAGACCATGTGACCAGATCTGGGACTTGTTTAGACTCAGACTCCATTTTTAGGAGTACAGTACAGTTTAGAAGTTAGTAGAAACAGAATACTTTAGAGAAGAGACTCTATTAGACTCTCAGAACAGAGAGCTGCTTTGGCTTTTGGACTGTTTAGATTAGAAAAAAAGATGCTCTGTGTTATGTGCACAGAGAAACTACTTCCAAACCTATGTAACTGGACTGATATGCAATGTACCTGTATGCTGAGTACACGAAGTTTGTGAGTAAAACAACTATGTTATTTTAACCAAGACTGTTTTTGGTCTCTTGAGAGCGTAATTGAGGGCCGTTTTACACAGACCTATATCTCAGAATATCAAGGCAGAAAATTCCACATTATCTGAGTGTGGACTCAGATAACCCAATCCAAAGCAAATATTGTGGGATATAGGGCTGTGTGGAAAGGCCCTTAAACCAAGATGTTTTAAAGGAGAGTAGATGTTTTTGGGCAACTGAAAGAACACTTCTGAAACTCTACTATATATGTTTTTTGTGCATTGGCATATCTTTGTCCCTAACAGCTCAAATAGATATTTAGGATACCAGTTTAACAGCTCAGAGGCCTAACTGCCTTGTATGAATACAAGAGGATATTTACCATTAGAAGCACTTTAATTTATGGTTCATGCAATTAAATCCTTCCTCATCCCCGAATCCTCCTTCCCGATAATTTACATTGTCCTATCTCCCAGTGTTTTAATATTTTATCTTTGAATTTGTGTATTTATGTATTTTATTTTCTGGTTTTATTATGCTTTTGTGTTATATTATGTGTACTGTACTGATGGGTGTGGCCTCATGTAAGCCACACCAAGTCCCCCTGGGGGAGATGGAGCGGGGTATAAATAAATTATTATTATTATTATTATTATTATTATTATTATTATTATTATTATTAGGGAGAATGTTGATTCAAATGAGTTTTAACTTTTCTCAGGGAGATTCCATTTCCCAAAAGGTTAAGGTGAATGCCATTTTCCAAAAGGTTATGGTGTCATTTTTCAAAAGTCTATGATAACTCAAAAGGTTTTGATTTCCAACAAGGTCATGCCTTTCCAAAAGATTTTCCAAAATAGTGTAGTGGCCGTCTGTTAAAAATCTGTGAATAGCTATGATGATGGTGGTAGTGGTGATGATGATGGTTTTCAATGGCAAATCCTTACCTCGTGCACAGTCAGGACCAAGGAACCCCGGAAAACAGTGGCAATGGCCAGATATACATTCTCCATTCCCGTTGCAGTTGGTGGAACAGTCATCCATGACTTCTGTTCAGGAAAGGAAGAGGTGAAAATTTAGGTGGAAAAGTGTACCAGAAAACTAAAGAAAACTTTTGACATGAGATACAACCCATGTGTTTGCAACGGACTCCTCAAACAATAGGGCAACTTAATGTATTGTCGAAGGCTTTCATGGCTGGAATCACTGGGTTGTTGTAGGTTTTTTTCGGGCTATATGGCCATGGTCTAGAGGCATTTTCTCCTGACGTTTCACTTGCATCTATGACAAGCATCCTCAGAGGTAGTGAGGTCTGTTGGAACTAGGAAAGTGGGTTTATATATCTGTGGAATGACCAGGGTCACACCGTTTACAGAAAACCCACACACACAGATGGCTATCTACATAAAAACAACCATCGCCCACGTAAAAAAAGAAGCACAATTAAAGCCTTGGCAGACTCTGCAAAAAGAATCTGCGAAGCCCACCTCCTCCAAGATGAACTGAACCACCGAAACCGGGCTCTAGAGGCCAATGGAGACTCCACCTCAGACATCAGAAGAGCTGCAAGACCGAGAACAAGCCACGAGAGTCAAGACCAAGATCCACACAGAGGAAAAGTGTTCTTGCCAGACATCAAGGGAACCACTGACCGCATAGGGAAGCTGATGAGGAAACACAACATACAAACTATCTACAGACCCACCAAGAAAATCCAACAAATGCTACGTTCAGCAAAGGACAAGAGGGATTCTCTCACTTCTGCAAGAGTCTACCGTATACCATGCAACTGTGGACAAGTCTACAGAGGGACCACCAAATGCAGCATTGCCCAAATACGAATCAAGGAACATGAAAGGCACTGCAGACTACTTCAACCAGAGAAATCAGCCATAGCAGAGCACCTGATGAACCAACCTGGACACAGCATATGATTTGAGAACACAAAAATGCTGGACCACTCTAACAACGACCATGTCAGACTACACAGAGAAGCCATTGAAATCCACAAGCATGTGGACAATTTCAACAGAAAGGAGGAAACCATGAAAATGAACAAAATCTGGCTACCAGTATTTAAAAACTCTAAAATTACAACAGCAAAACAACAGAGAGGAAACAATCAGGGACATCTAATCACCTCTCAACAAAAGATTGCCCCAGGCACTGCCAGGCCATCAAATGCTAATCAAGGTGGTCAGTTGAAACATTCACACCTAGCTCCAACAGACAAGAATTCTTTGTCCCACCCTGGTCATTCCACAGATAAACCCATTTTCCTAGTTCCAACAGTCCTCTTTACCTCTGAGGATGCTTGCCATAGATGCAGGCAAAAGTCAGGAGAGAATGTCTCTAGAACATGGCCATATAGCTTGAAAAAAACCTACAACAACCCAATAGGGCAATTCGCAGGCACAAAAATAAAATATTTCTCCAAATAGTTGGGCTTTGTTTCATGAATGCAGCACATCTATATAATCTTTCAAGGGTCAGCTATTAAGTAAACAAAACCAAACAGCTTGTTTGGCATTTTATCAGAAGCCAGGATCATAAAGGAGGACCACAAGCCAGGATCATAAACCAGAATATGCTCTTGTCTTGTGAATCCTGGTATATTTGGGAGTGAAAAGCCAGCAGACCAGATTTAGGTAACATGTTAAGCAAATTATTCACTTCTGGCTTGTTTGGCTGCTTATGAAGCCACGGGAGGCAGAGGAAATCACATACACGGAGACACAGTATGTTTGGCAAGCCAAGCTTTCTGTTCCATCTGAATTAGATTCAGAGCTGACATCCTGCAACAAGAAGTAGTATTTCATTCTACAATGAGAAATGTTTATACTGAGCACAGTCACATTACATTCCCTACTACTGAAATAATTCTAAAAATGAAGTGTTTATTGGGTATCAGTCAAGGCAATTAACATCGGCGTGCTATTTCTGGAATTGGCTGAAAATAGGGTTCTCCACACAATCATTAAAATCACTCCTTAATTTTGGAAATGCACCCGACTTTTAATATAAAATAACACATATTACCATCAATAAATGATGGAACTGGATCACACATAGAAACAATTACCAAATCAAATATCCTACTCTGATTAAAGGTGGTACATTTTAGAAGAACTGTGTACAGTGCGTTTAGTTTTCTTTAGAGTTGCAATCACACTAATGAAGTGGTGGTAGAACTTCTTAAAGAAACTATTCTTCTGAATGATCCAGAATTCCACTAAGGATATTCTCTAGTAAATTAGCACTATAGTAATAAAATATTAGGAAAAAGAATATTGGGTTGCTGTGAGTTTTCCGGGATGCATGGTCATGTTCCAGAAGCATTCTCTCCTGACGTTCCACCTACATCTATGGCAGCATCCTCAGAGAATGTGAGGTCTGTTGGAAATTTGGCCAGTGGGGTTTATATATCTTTGGAATATTGCCTGGGGTCGGAGAAAGAACTGTTGTCTGTTGGAGGCAAGTGTGCAATTGGCCAGCTTGATTAGCGCTGAAAAACCTTGCAGCTTCAAAAACCTTGCACCTTGCAGCAACAAAAGCTTGGCTGTTGTTGCCTGGGGGGTCCTTTTTTGGGGAGAGCTGTCAACTGGCCCAAACACTGAGGATAGCTGCTTATTGTCACTGGGGATTGTGAATGACTTTTACTATATTGTATATTATTTACTCTATTCTCAGCTTGGCAAAACTTGGTACATGAAACTAGGAATACTCGGAAACAAGACTGTCATGAAATTCCAGTGTTGATGAGACCGAGGCAACTTTTTTCCTTGTATCCATATAAAGTTTTTCCTGACCCCAGAAGTGAAAGGAAAGCATTTCTCTTGCCCTTACAACCAGATAAGAGTTTCTTATCTCTCTTTTCCTGCAGACGGATTTACCTTCATTGCACCTGAGAATTTTGCCCCTGTTTAGAAAAGACTTGCTTTCTATCTTCACTCTCATGAAATTCTGCACCTGACAAATCATCTTAGGAAGACAGGTTCTCAGAGAAAGACTGTTGAGGGCCTCTCTCAGGAATGTGACCTTGTGAATCTTCATGAGACACCTCGGGCCTGTTGTCTGGGCTTAACTCAGACCCACACCGACCCTCATCCCCATTGCCAACTGTCCCAGGCCCAGAAAACCCTTCATCCCCATTCCCATCACAGACATCATGTAGTTCGAAGGCTAAACTACAACAGCTACCAAAAGTGATTTAAGATTGTTGCAGAATAAATAAATAAAACCCAATAATCTACACTGTTGGGAAGTAACTAATAGGCAATCTAATCTTACCTATGGCTGTTGTCAACATCAGGACTTGCTCCATTTTCTTGCCATCATTGTAAAAAGCCATGTGCCAAGCCCCTTGATCCATAAATTCTATGAATCCAGTTTCTTGCATGGACATCAAGATCAGATTCCTGGGGGCATGCTGAGGTTCCTCCGAATGTCTTGGCTCCTGCTTGATTAATTGCTTCCCATCCATCAGTTTTACAAAATCAAACTGAAACAACAATGGTAATATTATGATGAGTTCCGCTTCCCCTCTTTGCATGTAGCATGTATATTGCAGGCCTGTCAAAGTCAGTTCTAAAAAAAAGTAGTTTAGGAACCTTTCCCTTCTTTTCTAGAGCATTTATTTCCATATTTAAACAAGAAAAATGCTATTCTAATTTTCCCTGTGAAGAGTAGAGACATCACACTGGCAATGAAGATCCGCATAGTTAAAGCAATGGAATTCCCAATAGTCATCTATGGATGTGAGAGCTGGACCATAGGGAAGGCTGAGCAAAGGAAGATAGATGCTTTTGAACTGTGGTGTTGGAGGAAAGTTCTGAGAGTGCCTTGGACAGCGAGAAGATCCAACCAGTCCACACTTCAGGAAATAAAGCCCGACTGCTCACTGGAGGGAAGGATAGTAGAGGCCAAGATGAAGTACTTTGGCCACATCATGAGAAGACAGGAAAGCTTAGAGAAGACAATTATGCTGGGGAAAATGGAAGGAAAAAGGAAGAGGGGCCGACCAAGGGCAAGATGGATGGATGGCATCCTTGAAGTGACTGACTTGACCTTGAAGGAGCTGGGAGTGGTGACGGCCAACAGGGAGCTCTGGCGTGGGCTGGTCCATGAGGTCACGAAGAGTTGGAAACGACTGAACGAATGAATAACAACAATTTTCCCTGTAAACGCAGTGCCAGTGATCTGCCTGGGATTGAAGTATAGACATAATTACAACAACTGGAACAAGTATTTTAATTGGCTATCAGGTTGGTGCTAAAATGTAGGGAATTACACAGCCAACAAAATATACCCCTTAAGGTAATCATCTTAGTTGGTCGTTAAGCACAGATAGATGCAATGGGAGCAATGAGGGAACAAAGACAGATGCATCTTAAGGGCAAGGCTCATACTATTCAGCATCAGGGCATGGGCTCTGCATGCAGAAGGCAAGAAACTCAATCTTTGGCATTTCCAGATCTGAAGCCCTGAAGTAACCAGCAAGAAATTACTTCTACCTGAGATCTGGGAGAGCTTCTGCCAAGGTAGACCATTGGTCTAGCCCAGCAGCCTTATTTTGCATAAGGCACAAAAATCTTCTCTGTATATAGAAGTCAAAGTATGTATGCATGCATATTTGTTTGTCTGTCTATTTGTACCGCAAAGGCTGTTGTTAGGTGAAGTGGCCCTCTGTGATGCCACTGGGAAAGGATGGTCACAGATGTGAGGAGAAGGAAAGGTGGAAGGGAAGAGACACAAAGAGAGTCATTGTGGGGCAGGCCCTCTCGGTGGTGGAGAAAGAAGAAAGACAGTGGAAGGACGGAAAGGGAAAAGGAAAGGGAATGGAAGAAAGGGAGGTAAGGGGAAGAGAAAGAAAAAGGAAAGATGAAAGAGAAAGAAAAGGGAGAAAGGTATGAGAAGAAAGAAGGAAGGAAGGAAATAAGGAAGGAAGGAGACAGAAGATATGAAAGCCAAGAGCAGTGGCCTCTCCTACAGCTGGACAATGCCAGAAATGAGATAGATAGATAGATAGATAGATAGATAGATAGATAGATAGATGATAGATATTCCCAGACAAAGAAATATTGCAAAGCAAATAATTGCAATATCTATGCTCTCAGCAGAAGAGGTGTTGTAGGATCCCTGGGCTTAAACATCAGGAATCCTTAATGCTACAGAATTGTAGAACTATCATTCCACTTTTAATTACAATGGTTATCTCTTAAGGAATGCTGGAGCTTGCAAGCCAGCAATGACTTGAACACACACATGTACTGTATGCAAATGTGCACACACTAGGCATGTGCATTCAGGGAAAACCTTGTACCATTTGGTGTCTTGCAATTGGGAGGGTTGTTTTTGGTTTTTTTGTTTCAGGATGTGAAAATTGGACCATTATGGGTGGTGGGGCTTCCCCCCCCCCCCATAATGGAAAGAGAATGCATGTGTGGCGGGGTGGGCAGACAGGCCCAGAAAACACGCACGCCTGCCAATGCCTGCAGTCGAGCCTGGCATCCTCCAAGCCTGCCTGCCCACCCCACCACACACACCCCACTACACTTTCCAAGAGTACATGTGTGACAAGGCCTGCCTATATGCCTCACCATGCACACACTCTCTTTCCAAGGCAAGGAGGAAAGTTAGAAAGCAGGCTGTAGACAAGCTTTTGCATTGAGCAGATTTTTGTGTGTGGAGGGGGCTTCCCATTTTGTGATTTCGAATAAATGGAAGACATGAAAGAAATAGTAGAAATGAATTTTGTGCACATGTCTAGCAGACACACAAACACACAAACAAAAGCGTACATTGGATGCTTAAAGTCTACCCAGCTTTGCTATGCAATGTCAAGTTTCCTGCTGGTCATACAATTCAATTTATACATTTCCATTTTTTCCACCAAACAGTCATTGGTTTCCATTTTTTCCATTTCGTTTAACCTGCTAATGGACAACTGGAGAGTTTGTGTAAGAGGCAGGCATTTTCTAAAGGAGCAATTGCCGAATAAGTGGTTCTGCTATTTTGTCAACAGGACACAAAGCCTAATCAATGTTCTACACCTTTGAGGCTGTACATGGACAAGAGGCTGATTGTGTGCCTAAAGAGGGTCTCTCTGGTTCCATATTGGTTTGCAACTACACAAGGGTTGATAAAAACGGAAACCAATGGTCTCAAAACCGAAGTTTTGTACATCTGTCCCTTTGAGTAGAGGTAATAATAATAATAATAATAATAATAATAATAATAATAATAATAATCTTTATTTATACCCCACCACCATCTCCCCCAACGGGGATTTGGAGCGGCTTACATGGGGCCAAGCCTGAACAACAAATTACAATACAAAAAATACAAATTGCAATAAAATAAACAACATAACAATAAAGTAAAAACATCAAAGCATATGAACAGTATACACAAAACATAGAAACCAAGGATAAATTATATTATTTAATTATTATTTAAGCCAAGGATAAATTATATTATTTAATTTTAACAACCAAATGCTTTAGAGGTAGTTGTAGAACATTACATTTCTTCATGATGATTTACAAAATCTCCAAACTTCCTCCTACTTTCCAGAGATAAATTGATAGTTCTAAAATTGCAAGAAAAGAAGGCAGGAATTGCAGGAGAGATTAAAAAAGAGGTTAATATCAAAAATGTTTAAAAAGGGGGGATAATATCCAAAAAAAATCAATTTCATAGTCAACATCAACCTACAGAGCTCTCTCTGAAAATTATCACACGCCATGAAAATGCTACCTTTTACAACAACATAAAATTAAAATACCTGTGTGTGAGTGGGAGGAATGTTGCGTCTGCCATAAATCCCCAACAGAGAGTCCTTTGCCAATGAAACATTAAATTTCAGGTACATCGGATGATGGATCATGATCTGGAAACGCCAGAAGAGGCCTGGGGGGATTGTTTGCATCACTTGGTCTCCAATTTCAATTTCTCCGGTGTCTATTGCCTGTCCTTTCTGAAACACTATTTCTCCAAAAATTAGGGAAAAGGGGGAGGGGGAGAGAAAGGCTTGCTGTCATTTAAAAGGCATGGAAAGAGCAATCTATTCCTAAATACAGATTAACTTCTTGAAAGAAAACATGACTGTCCAGTAAATTATCAAACCTCACACGGCTACATTATGCTACTGCATTAATTACAGTTTTGCATGGCTGGAATTCTGACAGGTTATTAAGCTGGTAAAACCTCAAGTCATGATAACAGTTTTAATTTTTATATGCATGCAAAAGGATACATCCTGGACCCAGCACTGTTTTGCAAGCACTTCTTCATTCAACTACAGTGCAATGTTAGTGCAACAGGCACAATATAAAAGCTGGCCCAGTGTGCAAACAGAATGGCCTCCAGAAAGATATATACACACTTTATTTATATTCCACTCTATCTTCCTGAGGGTACTCAGGCAGATATGAGAACATATATATGGCAAACGTTCAATGCCTTTATATAATTGACAAGGACAGACAATACATAAACAGAGGTAAAGGCTTTCCCATCGTTTTCCATCTGGAGGCTGTGCTCGATTCTGACCATGGGAAGGTGCTGTTACTCTATCTTCCACGCCAAGGAGCTTTTTTGTTGTCTATAGATGATCTTCTCGAATTGTCAACATGTCCTTATGGATGCCTTTTATTACCTCCCTGCTTAAAGCAGTACTTATTTATCTACTCACATTGCTGTTTTTGATCTGCTAGGTGAGCCGAAGCTTGGCTAACAGCCAGGAGCTCATTCCGTCCTGAGCTTCAACAGTCAACCTTTCGATTGGCAAGATTTTCTGTAGCTGGCGGTTTAACCTGCTGTGCTGAAGCCTGGTCCAATAGTCTGTTGAATGGTTTGGAGGACTAATGAAATGTTTACTTATTTATTTATTGTATTAATATACTGCTTTTCTCACCCCTGGGAGGACCCAAAGCAGTTTACAACATCCTAACGGCAAAATTGATGCCAGGTGTACATGTAAAAATACATAATATCGAAACAATAACATATAAATATGAGTTATAATATTGCCTTTAATGTCACTGTAAGTTTGTGGATTCTATAGGATCTTGGACAATAATTCCTCTCATGAGACCAGATAACCAGATATATAAGTCTGTATAACCAGATGTATAATGCTAGGTGGCATAGCGGGTTAAACAGCTGACCGAAAGGTCGGTGGTTCGAATCTGGGGAGCAGGGTGAACCCCAGCTTTTGCCTAGCAGTCCGAAAACATGCAAATGTGAGTAGATCAATAGGTACCGCTCCGATGGGAAGGTAATGGTGCTCCATGAAGTCATGCCATCCTCATGATCTTGGAGGTGTCTATGGACAACTCCGGCTCATTGGCTTAGAAATAGAGATGAGCACCACCCCCACAGTTGGACACAACTAGACTTAATGTCAAAGGGAAACCTTTACCTTTTATAAAGCTTGGAATTCAAGTATGTCAATCCCAGAATACAAGTCCCCAATAGCTAAACAATGTAGAAAAGCTAGAAGCAACCATGACAGACTTAATCAGATATGAGCCATTTCCTAAAAAGAAGAAAGCTTGGACATCTCCTCTTGGCAGAATGAAGAAAGCTAAAAGGTTGTGCTTACTTCCCCTTGCCACAATCTTCCATTGAATTCTAGAGAACTGGAACTTATATCGACATTGATCTACCATTCTGCCATTGAGTCAATGGATCTACTCTAATTGGGCCTAGCAATTTTTTTCAATGTTATATATATTTTTTTCCAGGCAGACTTAAGCAAGTTCTTGAAATAATTAATTCTGAGCCCAAGAACTGGAAACCTTGAGGGGGTGGACCAAAAAGATATTATCGGTGAAGTCTGTGCTATTTCCAGTTCTGGGTGAAGGTATCTAATTATATGCTACGGATATTTATCAGTTCTGCCTGGGGGCTCCCCTATCAATGGAATAGTGAATTCACCCTGAATTTTAGTTGGCATCTTGAAAGATCTATGCAAGCTTATTTCAAGGACATGGTTCAGAACTATGGACAGCTCCTTTAAAGTCCACATTATAAAACGCATTCTTTACCTTGCTAGTGGAGCCGCAGTGTCGCAATGGGTTAAACCAGATATGGGCAAACCCAGGCCCAGGGCCCAGATGCGGCCTCATGGGCTCTTTTATCAGGCCCTCCTCTCTCTCACCATCCTATCCTTCCTTTCTTCTCTCTTTCCTTTCTGCTTCCATTCCAACCTCTCATCCTTCCTTCCCTCCCTCCCTCCTTTCCCTCCCTCTTTCTCTTTCCATCCTTCCCTTCCACCTTTCCTTCCTTCCCTCCCTCCCTCTTTCTCCTTCCTTCCTTCCTTCCTTCCCTTTTGTCTTTCCCTCCCTCTCTCTTTCTCCCTCCAATTCTTCCATCTCCCCCTTTCCCTTCCTTCCTTCCTTCCTTCCTTCCTTCCTTCCTTCCTTCCTTCCTTCCTTCCTTTCCTTCCCTCCTTCCCTCCCTCCTTCCTTCCTTCTTTCCTTCCTTCCCTTCTTTCCTCCCTCCCTTCCTCTTTCTCTCTTTATTCGCTCTCTTTCCTTCCTTCCCCTCTTTTTCTTTCCCTCCCCTAATCTTCTTTCCCTCTTCTCCTTCCTTCCTTCCTTCCTTCCTTTCCTTCCTTCCCTCTCCCTCTTTCTCCTTCCTCCTTCCTTCCTTCCTTCCTTCCTCTTCCCTCTTTCCCTTCCTTCCTTCCTTCACTTTTGTCTTTCCTTCCTTCCTTTCCTTCCTCCTTCTCTCCTTCCCTTTCTTTCTTCCCCTTTCCCTCCCTCCTTCCCTCTTTCCCCTTCCAACCTTTCTTTTCATCCTTCCTTTCTTCCTTCTTTCATCCCTCCTTCCATCTCTCCCTCTTTCTCTCCTTCCATCCTTTCATTCATCATTTTTCTTTCCTTTTGTCCCTCCTTCCTTCCCTATCTTCCTCTTTTCTTTCCATTCTTCCCTTCCTCCTTTTTGTCCTTCCTCCACATTTACTAAAGTTATCATATGTCATTTTTAACTAGTATCATGAAACACAGGAGTCCCTGGTGGCACAAGAGGTTCAACTTTTGTGCCAGCTGAACTTCTGACAAAAGGTCAGCAGTTTGAATCTGGGAAGCGGGGTGAGCTCCTGTCTGTCAGCTCCAGCTTCCCATGCAGGTACATGAGAGAAGCTTCCCACAGGATGGTAAAATATCTGGGTGTCTCCTGGGCAATGTCCCTGCAGAGGGCCAATTCTCTCACAACAAAAGCGACTTGCAGTTTCTCAAGTCGCTTCTGACACAATAAAAACAAACCCTTGCTGATCTAAGTCCATCTGCACTGTCAAATGAATGCAATTTGATACCACTTTTATTGCCGTGACTCCATGCTATGGAACCATGGAAGTTTTCATGTTACAAGGTCTTTAGCTTTCTCTGCCAAAGAGTGCTGGTGATTCATCAAACTCCCAGGAGCTCATAGAATTGAGCCACGGCAGTTAAAATGGTACCAAAGTGCATTAATTTGAACATGTAGATGCAACCATAGACGCCATCACCGAGCACTTATTTCAGTGGTTCTCAGCCTTCCTTATGTCATGTCCCCTTAATACAGTTTCTCATGTTGAGGTGACTCTCAATCATAAAATTATTTTCATTTCTACTTCATAACAGTAATTTCACTACTGTTATGAATCATAATGTAAATATTCGATACACAGGATGTATTTTCATTCACTGGACCAAATTGGGCACAAATACCTGATATACTCAAATTTGGGGTTGGGAGTGATTGATTTTGTCATTTGGGAGTTGTAGTTGCTGGGATTTATAGTTCACCTACAATTAAAGAGCATTCTGAACTCCACCAACGATGGAATTGAACCAAACTTGGCACACAGAACTCCCATGACCAACAGAAAATAATGGAAGATTTTGGTGGGCATTGACCTTGAGTTTTTGAGTTGTAGTTCACCTACATCCAGAGAGCACTGTGGACTCAAACAATGATGGATCTGGACCAAACTGCAGTTTCAATATGTCCAAATGTGAACACTGGTGGAGTCTGGAGAAAATAGACCTTGACATTTGGGAGCTTTAGTTGCTGGGATGTATAGTTCACTTACAATCAAAGAGCATTCTGAACCTCACGAACAATGGATTGAACCAAACTTGGCACACAGAACTCCCATGACCAACAGAAAATACTGGAAGGGTTTGGTGGGCATTGACCTTGAGTTTTGGAGTTGTAGTTCACCTACATCCAGAGAGCACTGTGGATTCAAATGATGATGGATCTGGACCAAACTTGCCACAAATACTCAATATGCCCAAATGTGAACACTGGAGGAGTTTTAGGAAAATAGACCTTGACATTTGAAGTTGCAGGATTTATAGTTCACCTACTATCAAAGAGTACTCTGAGCTCCACCAATGATGGAATTGAACCAAACTTGGCACACAGAATCCCCATTACCATTTTCTGACAGTCTTTGGTGACCCCTCTGACATCCCCTCATGACCCCTCCAGGGGTCCCGACCCCCAGGTTGAGAAACACTGATATTTTAAAAAGACAACCCTTGTCCCGTCTTCCAGGAGCATGGTTTACGTTGCCTTTTAGCTGCATGGGATAGCATTACTTTGCATTTCCCCAGGGTTGCTATAGACCCAGCAGCACCCTGGAAGTTAAACAGTATCAGAGTCTGGAAAGCCAGGCTGCAGGCCCTCTGCAGTTATTGGTTTAGAAAGTATCTCTTTGGGTTAGGAGTCCGCCCTTTTTCCTGGGGTTGAGATCTCCATTTTGGAATCTCCCCTGCCTCCTTCAGTAGAGAAAAAAGCCTCAGATGTGCTGTTGGTCAGACAGGTAGCTCTGAAAAGCCATTGTGAGTACAATTGAGTAATTGAGCAATTGAGTTATTGGGTTATTTAGACAGAGAAAGAAATTGAGTTATTAAGAAAGGCAATTGAGATAGAGAAGCTGATTGAATTATAGATAGATATTGAGAAATAGAGAAAATAGTTATTGAGTACTATTG